AACGGACGGGAAAATATGGGCTTCATGCGGGGTGGGGTCCTTGTGATTCCCAAACCAAGACCTTTTCCGGGCTCCGGCCGCTGCTCTGAGAAGTTCAAGCGCCGGCACAAGCCCGAAAAGGATGGGATGCGTTCTTTTCTCCGGGACGGAGAGGGGGTAATAACTGGAGTGTTTGCCCATGGGCGGGGGGTCTCCTTGCTGGTGTCCTTGAACTTACCCGATGTGGGGATGGAGGTTGGCTCCAATCGACGCTCCTTGTTGGGGGGAAGGCTTTCGTCACTCTTCTTCCGCTTGCGCGACTCTGCGCCGCGCTGCGGAGTGCTCGTATCCGCCGTGGGTTCGGCATGGGGAGTGCGGGTGGCACTGGCTTTCGCGGGTGTATCGTTGTTCGTCTGGGGTGCATCGGTCATAGGGACATCTTCCTGGGACTCCGTTTCGCTTTCTTCTGCGCCACTTCCTTCTTCCTCACTTTCTTCCTCACTACCTTCTTCACTACCCTCCTCCTCACTGACCTCTTCCCCACTGCCATCTTCCTCGCTGCCCTCTTCATCCTCGTCATCACTCTCCGCAGCCGCAGTGTCCAGGGGGTCCGTGAGTTTCGGCAGCGGTTGAGAGGCCGATTTGCGCGTAGTTAACGGCGATACTGAGCCATTCGCGGTCTGCTGCGACTGCGACTTTAAATCCAACTTAGCATGTTTGTCAGTAGACTTTCTCGCATGCTCCGACCGCTGCGGTGCAACACCTGTCGACCCAGGGCGCGGGGCACCGCGCGTCGCCGTGGGCGAAGGCCGGGGCCAGTCGCCGAGTTCCTGGCTCTCCATACGATGACGCTCCGGTGTAGGCGCAACCGTTCGCCCCTGGTTGTCTCCGGGAGCACTAGATTGAGTACCCCAGCGAGGAAGAGACCTCGGGGCGTCCTCTCTCTCCACAGACGACATCGGGACCTCACGGGCGTCATCGTCTGAGATCCGTCCGTCGATCGCACTGCCAGACTCAAGGTCTGGGTCTTCGTGGATGGTCTTCAGATTCATCATCTTCGCCATTGTCTCCTGCTTGACCTGCGCTTGGCGTTCATAATCCTGCGCCGCGGCGTCCCAGTCCAGCGACACGGATGGGAATCGGACGGGCGCCTGAGAAGCGGGCCTCTGGATAACGCGGACAGTGCGACGCTGATCCAGCTTGTCCGCTGCGCCCTTCCCATGGTCGACAAATACGTCCGCGACGGTGAGGTCGGGGTCAAGGTCTTCGGAATCGTGGTCGTCGTCGAGAAGCTTCTTTATTTCTAACGGTCTAGCCCTCACCATTAGCCCATCATCCCGTCAAGCAAGCAGTCACGCCCGCGTAGACATCACAGCTATCCCTTCGAGTGTATTCAAACGGCGCGCGGGCTGACTCGGGGCAGAGACTCACTCAGCTTCCGGCCGTAGCTTTCTCCATTTTTCCTGGATCCTCCCCGCCAACCCTCCAAGGGTAATCTCCTCTGGATCCGGCAACACCAGCAAAAAGCTAGCCGGCTTCTTGGCCGCGCCGTTGGCCGCGGAATCATTGTTGTCGCGCTCTCCAATCAAGTGCCGGAAGAACGAACCGGAGGATTGGGTCTGCTCGCGCGGATAGACCTTGACGGTCAGCCGCAGGAAGACCATACTGAGTAAGTGATAGTAGAGGACGTTCAGCCACAAGTGCAATTATGTAAAATTATGAGTACAGAGGTAGGTCCGGTGAAGCCGCGGATATCATCATGGAATCGTAGACCCAAGCGACACGCCTTGCAGACGAAACGCAGTAGAGAGAACAGCCAGGTTCAAGAAAAGGTAGAATACGAAACAGAAGCGAGAATGCGGGGAGAATGAAAGAGTTGAGGACCGAGACAATCACTCGCCAGGCTCGAAGGAAAGAAGCTTGAAAAAGTGACAGAGCAAGAAATTGAAAATGCCCCAGCAGAATACCGCTCGTTGATTGGTGGCTGGGCGGAACGCGGCATCGACGCGTCTCACCGCCTTGAGATAACCATGCATAAAATGTATAAAGATATGACACAATATGGAGTATAAGATGATATCGATAATTCGCCTGATGAATAGTCCTGATACATAACCAGGCCTACTTGAAGAATAGCTTAGAAGAATCACCATCATCATGGCTTTCCACTTCGTTGAATAAAGCCCCAGTGGAACAGGCAGTTGACAGATACAGCTCCGTGTCATGCAACACAAGGATACAAACGGTCAAAGACGCCTATTGCGAAGAGACATGTGAGATGTTTTACGCACGTCAAAACCCATCAGTGCATTGAAACCAGGTATCATCCAAACGCCGTCACAAATGTAGTAGTACAACATCGTCCCAATGCAGGGAACCGAACCGGACCAACAAGGCCATGGAAAAGAAAAAAATGAGACCAAGAGAGGGAAAAAAAAAAAGAAAAGAAAGGAACGAAAGAAAAAAAGAAAGAAAGACAGACAACGGTCAGACAGCGCCTTCAATGGGTAACAATCGAGGCGTCCGGCGCCAACGATAACACTTCTGCAAACGATAGACAGCTTTCATAGCCCGTACAGCAACCAAGCTGTCGCTCCGACCCATCCGCCCGCAAACACGGCAGTCAGTATCCCCGCCCCGGCTTTATCGCCCGTTGTGATCGGCTCCAGCTTGTCGTCCGAGCCATCGTCGGTGCTGCCGGTGCCAGCGTGTGGGTTTCCCTTACTCTTACCCCCCGAGTCCGAGGTGAAAGGGCCGTTGCCACCCTTGCCTCCGTCGCCGGTCTTCCTGTGCGCGATCATCGCCGACGACATGATACTCAAGGCGCTCATGTCCGACTCCAGCGACGTTGACCCATCCCACTTGGGTTGGTACCATCGCCGACCGCAGGCGCTGCCGGATTTGCCGCCTGAGCACTGCTTGGCGGCTGCTTCGGCGGAGGCTTGGATCTTGGGGATGATCCGGTCGCTGGTGTAGGGCGCGATGGTGGTCATGAAGGTGAGCCAGGCGGCTAAGAACCCCTTAAAGCAGTCTTGGTTTCGATCGCACATCATGTTGGGCTCGCACGCGACCTCGGAGAGGACATTGCTTCCATGCTTCTTGGGGAAGAAAGTCTTTTCCACGGACTTGAGCAGCCCGTCCACGCGATGCTTCCACTTATCGTCGCCATCGGTCTATAATCATCAGGTGTTAGCTGCCACTTTTCTGCGCGGAGAGCTGCCGGATGGTATAGCTAATGAACATACCAAGTTGTACATGTATGCAGCCCCGTTGAGGTACATGCCGTAGTTGTAGGTCCACTGAAGGTTGCCGGCGTTCTTGCAATTCGTGTCCAGATCGGTGGTATCGGCGACGAACCAGCGGTCCGGCTGCACCAGCGGGCTTTGCGAGCTCCAATCCCAAATCTTGTCGGCCCACTCCGAGTACGTCTCGTTGTTGGTGTACCGGGCCAGCCGCGAGGCCAGCTGGAACAGGCCGCCGTTGGAGACCGAGTTCTTGGTGCCGTATCCCTCCTGGTAGGGGTAGATCTGCCAGCGCAAGCCACCGCCGCAGGTGGTGGTATCCCACCGCGGCACCTGGGTGTTGAACACACCCTGCGCCAGGGACAGCCAGGACGACTCGCCCTCGTCCTCCGGGTAGTTCAGCTCCGCGGCGGTCATGGCAGCCAGGCCCCAGAAGACCTGATCGTCATTCCCCAGGTAGTTGCTGTAGTTGGAGGGGAAGTAATCGTCGTTTCCCTTCTGCCAGTACATGCCCTGCGAGACGGGCCCGTTGTACGAGTCATCGCCGGTCCAGTACCAGTATTGGATCAGGGTCATGAACATGGCGCCACCTTCCCACCACGTGCCGCCGAGCTTTCCGGGAACCTGGCCGGTCTCGTTTCCGCTATATTGGCTCATCATATTGTAGGCCGTCGTCGCGGCGGCTTCTTTGATCGAGTCTATGGGCGTGACGACTGTGAGTACAGCTTCGCGTCACCTGCGACGGCGAAATTTCATACCTTCATCATCGGCCTTGAGCTCAAGGCCCAACGCTCCCCGACCCGCCACGAAGACGGTCAGGCATACTGCCCATAACCACTGCGGGAGGATCATCTTAAAAGAATACAGGATAGATCATGGAAACGAAAGTCGCAGAGAGCGCCAGACACAAAGAGAGAAAGAGTCGGGCGTAGCTATACAGTGGGAGGATGGGAGAGATGGGGTAGAGGGAAAGAAAGGAAGAAAAGGGAAGAGTCCACAGCGACGGAAGAATAGATCACGAATAAGACCAAGAGGGGGAAATGGAACCATCGTCCGACAAGGTAATGATGTGTGGGCATAGGTAGGATCCCATGGCTGCGCTTCCCAATTCGCTCCTGATGTTCCTCCTTAGCACGGTGTTTCTATCTGAGATCGCAGTTCATCCTCGGCATCAGAATCACCCCTGTCTGTCCACCAGTCCTACAATCAAATATCGAATCCGAAACCATCCCATCAGTACTACATGACCACAACTTTCACAAAGAACCATACTCTACTAAGAACAAATTGAACGAAAAGGACAGAAATCCAGGGTCCTCTCCACCCCAACCAGAACCACAATCCCATCTCCAACGGCAATAATTCGAGACGAGCGCGAGAAAAACCCCTCTTCTTTGGTTCGTCCCCAGGAACGCGCAATGCGGTTGGCAAGAGACATCGTCACTGGTCGAGTATTCCGATCTGCAACACGCGGGAGAAGAAAGGCCCCACTCCACACGCTGCGCCAACATGTAGAGCGAAATGATCCCCTGAACATCACTGACATCATCTGCGTCCCAATCATATCCAGCGGTATTTTTCTCGCCCCCTCTTCGCTCAGGATTAAGCTATGGCCAAGGCCCCAGGATGAGAACACCTCCGAAGCTCCTTGGCGAAATTGCTTGGTATTGACTTCATGTCGACGGGTGTTGCAGGATTTAAAGATCTGATGGATGGGAGATTATGTATGGATATTAGTCAGGAATCAGTCGGTTCAGTGGGACTCTGGATGTATCCGGAACTCTCGTTGGAGGTTGATTGGACGATACCCCTATACACTCTCAGTGATCTTTAGGGGGTTCTGGGTTGATTACACCGTAGGTGGATGGTGAACCGTGGACGAGTAACTTGTCATTGTGGTTGGCGTCGTTGACATTATCTTTGTTCCCCACACGGCCATTGTACGCAATATATATAAGGCGAGATTATACCGCCGTCCAGAACAATATTGGATGCGAAGTTGATGACGTCGATCTGGCCTTATTAGCAATGAGCTTATGCGGCGATCAATTTGCAAAGAATGTTAGTATTTCGCTGTGATGCATTCCTGTAAATCTCATTTGGTAGTCATATGTAACCTTGACCTCATGGAATTGGGTGCTATCTCCAGTGGCTTCTGCATTAGAGGAATTGATGAAGACGATGAATCTACGGAGTTGATGATGGTAATGGAGGTGTCGTGATGATCAGGTGTTGCTGTATAGTCAGGTGACGCTTCACGTGCAGGCTACGGTTGTGTTCCATTGCTACAAGACCAGAATGGGCATGCATGGTTTTAGAGGACAACTAAATGGTGTGCAGTGTAGATATCAAGTGTATCAATCGAGGGATTGGCAGATGTACAGGCTAATTTGTTGGAATGTTTTGTTCACCAGGACACAGAATCATCAGATGCTTTTAATGTATCATATCATGGATCTATCACGGTTATTACGCTCCAGGAGCACGTCGCCCATATCCACCTAATATTCTCAACTGCCACCAGTCCAATCGCAATCAACACCTTACATGCGATCACGTCGGCGGGGAGCGGAACGGATGATGTTGTCCACACGGAGAAGCAGCTGATATATAGATTAGCATTGAGTCGAAAAGGGGATGGAGGGAACAAATAATAACATACCTCTGCAGCTTCCGAGGCAGAGGACACCACAGCCTTCTTCAGCTTGTAGCTTTCCACCACGCCCAGCTCCCGCATGTCGGCGATGCCACCACCGGGAGTGGCCAGGTCCAACCCGGAGTTCGTCATGCCGCTGTTGATCGCCTGTCGGAGTCGGGTCACCAGGTCGCTGGAGTCCAGACCGGCGTTATCGGCCAGAATGGTCGGCAGCTGCTTCAGGGCGTACGCGAAGGAATCGACGGCCATCTGCTTCTTGCCGGTGGTGTTCTGAGCGGCCTGCTCGACGGCCTTGGACATGTTCATCTCTCCGCAGCCACCGCCCAGGGTGACGCGGGGCTCCTTGACCGTCTGCGAGATGACGGCCAGGGCGTCGTGCAGCGAGCGCTCCGCCTCGTCGAGCAGCTGCTCCGTGGCACCACGCAGCACGATGGTGCATGCCTGACCGGCGGCAACACCGGAGAACTTAATCAGAGTATCTTCACCGATGATCACCTCCTCAATCACATCGCACGAACCCAGCTTGACCTGCTCCGGGTCATCGAAAGTCGAGGCGATCTCACCACCCGTCACCAGGGCCAGACGCTCGATGCCGTCGAAGTCGGCGTGCTCGATGGACATGATGCCGGCCTCGGTGAACAGCTGCTCGGGCCAGTTGTAGATCAGCTGTCGGTTGACGAAGCAGTTGATGCCGTGGGACTTGATGCGATCAACCTTGGCCTTCATCTTCTCGCGCTCCGCCTTCTCCAGCTCGGCCAGCTTGCCCGTCGACTCGACCTTGACGCGGGCACCGAAGATCTTCACCTTGTCGGTGTCCATGGCCGTGTTGGCGACCAGGATCTTGGCGTTCTCCAGGCGCTTGGGCTGGTTGACACCGATCTTCTTGTCCAGAATGAAACCCTCGTCCAGGTAGGAGTCGCTAAGCTTTCCACCAGCCTTCTTGATGATCTGGATCTGACTCAGGTCGGTGGATCCGCGAAGACGGAGGACGGCATCACAGGCGAGAGTGGCGAAGTGCTCACGATCCTGCGCCAGGACCTTGGAGCTGAGGGTGGTGCGGGCGATGGAGTGGAGGTCTCTCCGGAACCACTCCTGATCCGAGCTGCGGTCGACCGCGATCTTGTCCAGGGCCTCCAGGGCGGCCTTGCTGGCTATGCGGTAGCCGTCGATGATGGTCTGGGGATGGATCTTGCGGTTCACCAGTTTCTCGGCCTCCCGCAGCAGCTCCGCCGCCAGAACGGTCACCGACGTCGTTCCGTCACCGACTTCATCATCCTGAACCTTGGAAATGTTCACCAGCACCTTGGCGGCGGCGTTATCAAGAGCAATCGCCTTCAAGATCGTCGCACCGTCGTTCGTCACGAGGATTTCACCGGTCGATCTAGTAAAGAAAAAAAAATCCCAATGTCAGTGTCAATCCACGGCCAGCCCCGCAGTCAGAATGCATCACACATACGCTGACTGCAAAATCTTGTCCATGCCCTTGGGGCCCAATGTGCTCTTCACCAAATCTCCAACCGCAATGGCTCCCACGAAGGCAGAGAGACGTGCGTTCTCGCCTTTCTCCTCGATAACATCGTCCGCGAAGATCTGGGTCGGATTGCCGAAAGACGCCTATTGGGGGATTAGTACGGGAAGAAAAAAGGCAAAACCGTCAGCAAACGACTGACCATGATGAATGAATATTAAGTAAAATGAACTACCGTCGAAATGGTGGACGGACAGCTCAAAAAAAAGGAGGATAGATGATGGAAGAGGGGGGAGGGGCGGAGGTCGGGCAGAGTAACGATAATACGGTTTGATAGCATCGGCCACCGCTGCGGGACAGAAAAGTTCGCGATGGTGGCCCACGCAGGGGAGCTGCTCACCGCCTGCCGTTTCTGCTCTGGGTTGATCCTCTTCCAGCTTCATGGATTCTTCTCGACGGCCCAGGTTCTTGGTGGGTACGGATTCATTCTACGGTATAGGATTACACTCAATTGAACCAGAATGGCTGCAGAAGAGGAGAGATCGCAACCCCTTTCCCACAAGCGCCCTCATGCGGCAGTGGATGGGGCTGAAGACAATGGTGTGTATCTTCTCTCGGCATCCATGGCCCACCCACCCAAGAAGCATTGCGGTTACTAACTGATAGGAATCTAGATGACGACTCGTCGGACGATGATTTCGGTCCAGCATTGCCCTCCGCCGATGCGCCCAAGAAGAAACGACGCAAGCTGCCTTTCGAGAATGTATACGTCAAAGCACTGCCGGCGTCGGCGCGCTACTCCAAGTCGCTCATGCACAAGGACCAACTGTGCTATGTGACGGTAACGCCGCACACGGACTTTCTGATTACGTCCTCTATCGACGGTGTGGTCAAGTTTTGGAAGAAGACGTCAGAAGGGTTGGAGTTCGTCAAGGAATTCCGGGCGCACACTGGGGAAGTGAAAGGGGTCAGCGTCAGCGCAGACGGGAGGAGTTTTGCGACAACCGGCACGGACAAGACAATTAAGATATTCGACGTGATTACGTTCGGTATGTGCTCATTGCCCTTTCGGAAGTTCATTGCTGACAGTAGAAGATCTTTTGGCTATGATTCCTCTCGATTTCGTGCCGCGATATGTCTGCTGGGTCCACCCTCGGGGCGCATCCTTACCGTTGGTCGCGGTCACCGACGATGAGACGAGCACAATCCGAGTCTATGACGGTCGGGGGGAGAACCACAGTCCTTTACATACAGTGAAGAGCATCCACCGGACACCAGTAGCTGCAATCGCTTTCAACGACGCCTATGACTGTGCGATCTCCGCGGACGAGTCGGGCATGATCGAATACTGGCGCGCATCGGATGGTTCGTTTGAAAAGCCCGACAACGTGTTCGAATTAAAGTCGTCCACCAATCTTTTCGAGTTCAAAAAGGCCAAGTCGACTCCGGCATCCCTCACGGTTTCGCCGTCAGGTGAGCAGTTCGCCACTGTTTCCTTCCCCGACCGCCAGGTGCGCGTGTTTGACTTTGCGACGGGGAAATTGTACCGCAAATACGACGAGTCGCTATCCACCATCACGGACATGCAGCAGGCCGGCACAGCTATCTACCCACTGGACGAAGTTGAGTTCGGGCGGCGATTGGCCGTGGAACGGGAACTGGAGAACCCTGTCACGCAGCCGCGGATCAACGTGCTGTTTGACGAATCGGGCCATTTCATCATGTACGGGTCGCTCTACGGCATCAAGTGCATCAACACCTACACCAACCGCGTAGTGCGTGTGTACGCGCGGGACGAGCCATTCCGCGGGCTGAACCTTGCCGTGTATCAAGGTCAGCCGCAGAAGAAGGGGTTCATGACGGTCTCGATGGCCGCCAGCGCCAACCCGCTCCTGCAGGAGGCCGAGGAGCGCGACCCCTTCCTGGTGAGCACCGGGTTCGGCAAGGTACGGTTCTATATCTTCAACAATGAAACGGAGATCTCCAAGTCCTCGCGAGATGTGCAGAACGAGCGGCCGACACAGGCTGCTTCAGGCGGTGAGACGGCCACCCAAAAGGCCAAGGAGACCGGAACGTCGGCCATCCTGCACACGACCATGGGAGACATCCACCTCCGCCTCTTCCCGTCCGCGGCACCCAAGGCCGTGGAGAATTTCGTGACGCACGCGCGCCACGGCTACTACAACAACACCATCTTCCACCGGGTGATCCGCAAGTTCATGATCCAGGGCGGTGATCCGCTGGGCGACGGTACCGGCGGCGAGTCGATCTGGGGCGGGGAGTTCCCGGACGAGTTTTCCACGCTGAAGCACGACAAGCCTTACACGCTGTCGATGGCTAACGCAGGGCCCAACACCAACGGCAGCCAGTTCTTTATCACAACGGAGAAGACGCCGTGGCTGGACGGCAAGCACACGATTTTCGGGCGGGCGGTGCAAGGCCTCGACGTGGTGCATAAGATCGAGAATGCCCGGACGCTCAAGGACCGGGAGAAGCCCGAGGTGGATATCAAGATTGTGAGCATCACGGTCAATTAGGGGGTGTGGTATGGGTTTGTTTCGAGCGATTTAGCCATCTATCTCAGTTTGTTCATTGGTAGAATACATCATATGATATTATGCTGCATGACTGAATTTTGCCTCTTCTCCAGGTTGCTCTGGATGTATGGTTTGGTCTGTCACTTGTCAGGTCAGGTAATCCTCAGTTAGCAGTAAGATTGAGCTCAATTACTATGTGAAGGTGACATTATACTACGATCTGCCACCAGCGGCTTCACCTCTCTGTTTGTCCGGTCTTTGATATGATTCCTTTCACCTCCAGCAGTACTCTCAATGTTGACTCTTGCATGGTGATTGGGTGCCTGTTAGATCAGTCTAGGACTGCTGTCACTACGCCATTCACAACCTGCTCAAAAGCAGTGACAGTCTGTAGTCCCTAGCCCGAGTATTCACTGACCACGACCAGCGACGTGACCTGCCCAAAACAGGCGTCTGCCCCAGGCAGCCCCAGGCAGCCCTCAGGTATAAATAGCCCTCATCTCTCACCTCCTCTTCCTCACCGCCTTCCTCTTCTCACCGCATCGTTTCTGCCATCGCTTCCATCACGTAACTGCATGATTTCCTAATATGGAAGGTGAAGCTGAAGTCCTGGTGGTTGAGGCTTCGGTCAGAACCACTCGGGTCCAGCCGGTGATCGTGCCTGTGCTGATATTTCTGTGTATTTACTTTGCGTTTTATCACAACTACGGGATCCGTCAAATTATTCTCAACGGCCCAATCCTCTACCGCGAGTACTTGAATGAGCTCCGTCGCCTGAGAGACGAGGAACGCCGTCGTCGCGCCGAAAGACGCGCCCAGCGTCTCCAGGATAGACACGACGGTGCCAGTCCTGACAACGAGCACGATATTGACGGTGTCATGGCGAATCCCCAGTCTGACTGGGTGCTGCTCGATGACTGGGGAGATGTCATTGATTTCCCTGCCATGGAGCCCCAAGCCTCCAGCGAAAAACCTCCTCCGACTCATGATGACTCGGACATATCGATGGAATTGCTGGGTGATACTTTGGAGGTTCTGGACATTCCTGTCCTGCAGCCTGAGGTGGGTTTCTCTGTTTGTCCTATTCTATCCGGCGTTGTAGCCCTAGTTTTCTAACAGATGTCTGGTTGCGTTAGCTTTCGAATGATCACTCTAACAATAACACCAAAGTTCAGCCGAACACTGCTGCCCCCGGCACCACTGTTCCCTGGGATGGGAAGATCAACTGGGTCATGGAAAATAGCTTGCCGTTCGCCGACAGAACATCTGTCAGGCCTCTCACGGCTCCCGGGCGCTACGAACCCGAACCCGGGACGAAAGATGCCTATCGCTGTGTCGTCATTGAGAAACTCCCCGTGGCTATTAGTATGGAAGAAATCCTCCCTCTTCTGGGCGGAGAGACCGATTCGGCTTTCCTACTCGACACCGTGCCGATCACGGGGTTCCAGTCAGCCCTAGTGATCTTTCTGCAGCAGAGCGATGCGGAGAAGTTCGCGTGTACCTTCAAAGACGGGCTTCCTCTGGGGCCGGTGCGTGCCAAGGTAGTCCCGGTGTCTACCCCCACCTCGCCGCTGTCCGTTCTCCATCAACGTCTTGTCGACAAGATGGGCTACACCCGCACCGTGCGCGTCTCGGGCACCCATCCAGCCGTAAAGAGGATGGTGAGACACTATCTCAGCCTTGATTACTACTATCTGTTGGTCGAGAACATCGCAGAGGTGATTGGCGCGGACGAGGTCCACATCCGTTTTAGATCGATTAAAGGGTGCGTTCAGGCGTACAGCGACTTGCGCACGCATCCCCGATTCATGGACTGCCAGTTTGAATTTCTGAAGCACTGGCAGCTTGAGACCGCCTCTGTGGCTTTTACGTCCTCTGACCTTGCCAATGGGAGTTTGCCGGAGGGTTCTGGACCGTAAATCGAGCCGATTCCATCGGGCCGTTCTGCTTACGAGGCGCAACAGGCAGGACTTTCCTGTCCGATCGCTACGGACGAACGGAGCAGCAAAGGACTTAGCCTGAATTCAGAAGGAGAAGCGCGGTATCTAAGCTAGATAAATGAATCAGTGGAGTAGTCTTTTCAATCTCCGTCCAGTGTTTCGCTCGTATATTTTAGACTACCACCGTAGTGGCATTCTCTACCGAGGCCTCCGCCCCCAACCGACCGCGTTGACGTCGCCGCAGACCCCAGACCCCACGAGGAGAGCCCGATGATCTCGCGCTAAACTCTCCAAATGAGGCTTTTTCCTCCCTAGCTGCATAATTATCGCCATCTCGGCCGACTCATGCAGGGGCTCCACAGAGCTAAAGCCGCAGGATTCAAAAGGCGATATCGCAAAATGACACCACTCGTCGCAGACAGTGGAGCAAGCAGACGAGCTCCTCATCCAACGCAGACCCTAAGCGAAGGCCAAGCGAAGGCCAAGAAGCGGGGGAGGCGAGAATGGACCATGTGGGGAAGGGACAAGAGTGTCAGACCTTAAGGAGGTTAAGAGTTAATAGAGTTAGGCTTAGATTCGGCTCTTGGGGGGTTTTTATCCCCGTGGGGTGTGATTTCTTGGCTGCTCCACACTCTTCTCTCTGTCCCTTTCTGTTTGTTTCTGGAGATTTGACAGGTTTATTGCTGACTGCTCACCAATTACCTAGCATGGTTAGGTGTCACAATTGGTCATTACTCGATAGTCGAAGACGAGGCCCTGCATGGATGATGATCCCTCTTGCGGTCTGGATCCTCCAGTTCAGGGCTGGGTTTTAAAACTCCGATGACCCCCCATCTCCCTAGGATTTTTTCCTCCCTTGCGCAATTCCTCCTGCTGGCAGTGATAGGATTTATTTCGTCTCTCCATTTTTTTTGCCAAATTTGTTGCATTGTTTGGTGATTGATTGTGTTCAGGAAGCCAATCTCGCCAACATGGGCTCCCTAGATGAGAAACCCGCACACGTGGAAGAGTCCCCCAACGACGTCGAGAGATGTTCCACCTCGTACGAGTATCCCGCCAAATCCAAGCTCGACCAGTTTGAGGACCCCGATGCGGGATTGAGTGCGGAGGAGCGCGCCAAGATCGTACGTTGTGATCCGTTGCTGTGGTGGCTGGATGCTAACGGCCCTGGATAGGACCGCGCCTTGCTATGGAAGCTCGACATGAAACTCGTCCCTTGGCTCAGTCTCCTCTATCTGATTTCGTTCCTCGATCGGTATGATGTCTTGGGATACAATGTGGCAGACAGATGCTGATTACTGGGCAGAACGAACATCGGAAATGCGAAGCTGGCGAACTTGCAGGAGGACCTCAACATGTCAGACAACCAGTACAATAATGCGTTGACTATCTTCTTCGTCTCGTACTCCGTCTTCGAGCCCTTGACCAATGTCTTGCTGAAGCGGATGCGGCCGAGCGTCTTTATCCCGATCATCATGGTGCTATGGGTATGTGCATGAACACGGTTTGGAGAGTGTCTGCTAACGCTCTACAGGGCATCAGCATGGCGTGCATGGGTCTCGTGCATAACTACGGCGGGCTCATGACGGTACGTCGACTCAACCTTCCATTATACTCCCACGGCTAATGAACGATAGGTGCGCTGGTTCCTCGGCCTGACCGAAGCCGGCCTCTTCCCCGGTATTGGATACTTCCTGTCCTGCTGGTACAAACGGTCCGAGTTCGGCGTGCGCATGGCCATCTTCTTCTCGGCCGCAGCACTAGCCGGCTCCTTCGGCGGCCTCCTCGCGGCAGCCATCGCCAAGATGGACGGCATCGGCGGCAAGGCCGGCTGGTCGTGGATCTTCATCATCGAAGGCCTAGCCACCATCGTGGTCGGCATCGCCTCCTTCTGGATGGTATACGACTTCCCCGACGAAGCCAAGTTCCTATCCGACGCCGACCGCAAGCGGGTCCTGCGCCGTCTCGCCGAAGACCAGCAGGCGAGCGCCGAGCACGAGCAGTTCAAGATGGCCTACTTCTGGGCCAGTCTCAAGGACTGGAAGACGTACACGGGGGCGATCATCTACATGGGCGCCGACGGCTGCCTGTACGCCTTCTCGCTGTTCGTGCCGACCATCATCGCGCAACTGGGCTACAGCTCATTCGAGGCGCAGCTCATGAGCGTGCCTCCCTACGCGGCCGCCGCCGTCGTGACGGTCGCGATCGGCTTCGTCGCCGATAAGACGCGCCAGCGCGGCCTCTGCAACATCTTCATCTCCATCCTGGCGATCGTGGGATTCGCGCTGCTCCTCGGCGCGGAGTCCCCGGGCGCGCGCTACGCAGGGACATTCCTAGGTGCGATGGGCATCTACCCTTGCGTGGCAAACACGATCTCCTGGGCGAGTAACAACACCGAAGGTATTTCCTCCCTTCCCAAAGCGTTCTCACACGCACATGCTAATCAGAACAGGCGTCTACAAACGCGGTGTCACCATCGGCTTCGTCATCGGCTGGGGCAACCTCAACGGAATCGTCTCGTCCAACATCTACCGCGGGCCCGACAAGCCCCACTTTTACCCCGGTCACGGCACCGTGCTCGCCTACCTGGTTCTCTTCCTGTTCGGCGGGTCCATCCTGCAGTATTTCCTGCTGCGGCGGGAGAACGCCAAGCGTCGTCGTGGAGAGCGCGATCACTGGGTGGAGGGGCTGGACGAGACCGAGATCCGCATGTTGGGCGATATGCGGCCGGATTTTATATACACTCTGTAGTTATCAACCTTACAATATGAATGACACGTATACATATACACAAAGATATATATAGTATATACAGATATGATATCCAAACTAGGCCATCTCCCGCGTATAATAATTCACAATATCCTGATCCTTCTTCGGCCCCCGCACAACATGCCGACTCGCCCAGCTGAGCACATCGCCAGAGTCGCGCCCCACGCGGAACGCATACGCCGTGCGATACATATCGTTGATACAGAGGTGATTTCCGCGCGCCACGACAGTTGTCGTATTATCTGTGTTCTGATTGTCCGCAGGGGGCACAGGCGGCGTCACGAACGTATCATCATCCAAGATAGCAGATGATAAAGCCTTCGCATCCAGGACTTCGAATTCGTGGAAGAGGTAGTCTGCTTCGACGTTTTCTTTCTGGGTGTCCGTGTTCCCTGGGGGTGTGGAGGAGGATGAGGTAGAGGAAGGCTTAACGAACCAGACGCTCACTCCTTCAGTTGGTTCCGTACTGGTGCTGCTACCATTAGGCGCAGGAGTTGAGGTAAACCGCCAGATGTACTTCTTGCTGAAGCGGAGACCGGCTAGGGGGCCCGTCGGGACGCTGCCTTCTTCGGAGTAGAGGATGTCTTGGTTATTATCATTTTTGTTGTTGTCGTTATTGGTGTGATTGACATTGATATTGTTATTCCTGGTCAAAGGTGTAAAAGAAGCCGTCCCGCGAAGTGAACCCTGGATATCTTGCGGGTTGGCGCTTTTGAGAGTGCGGTGGAGGGTCCAGCGGGGGGTGTCGCGGAGGGAGGAGAAGATCTGGGGGATGGATGGCATTTCCCTTGTTCTTTCTTCTCTTTCGGATTTTTTTTCCTTTTGCTCTTTGGGGATTGGTATTGTGTGGTTATAGACTAGATGGATGATTGAATGAGGTTGATTGAGGTGGATGTTGAATGTTGAGTTGAAGAGTGGGTTGAGTGGGTGAGCCTGGGGAATCAATCTCCTTACCGGATGGGGTTAGTCTATCTATATATCTACATCTATATAGCTTCATCAGATGTCTAATATGATCCTGGAATTATATTGAAGCCAAATAATAAAGTTGGCTTTTTAGGGTCATGTATTCAAGAATTGTATAATATAGTCTTGACTAATGTTCAATACAAGACCTGTAGTAGATATGTTACTCACGAAGCCACAGAACTCTAGGGATAATTGGGGGTGATCGCGTGATAGTTGCTTTTGGGGGATTGTCGGCGGGGGATCTTTTGTATGTTCTTTCGTTCTTTCTTCTCTCTCTTTTCTTTTCTTTTTTCTTGTGGTGGGTGTTGGTTTGAATGCTGTTTGAGGCTGAGGCTAACGTGATAGGTACTGTGGGGAGGTGCATCATACCTCTATCAAAGAGTCGGTTTGGTGTACGGAGAAGAGGAGATGATTGACTTGTTATACTCCCAGGCTCTAGTCACACAATAAGATATTATTCCAAAATATCAATACTATTCCAAATACAAATATCATACCAGAAGACAGTTTAACTTAATCCCAGGCGAGCCTACTCTTTCCCAAACCCAAGAAATATCACCCTCCCCGAATCATACCCCAACGCTAGAATCCCATCGCGGTAAGCCGACGCCTGGGGACGCCGGTACCTATCAGGCAGACGCATCTCACGTCTCCCCTGGTACATTATCCACAGATCCTGCCGATACACCTCGGGATAAGGCGACGCATCCCCAGGCAACCAGCGTCGAATATCCACACACCCGACGTCGGTCTCGATGTAGGAGCTGCAGCCGGACGCCCCCCCAATCAAGAGGGTATTTTCCACCGGGCCCAACGGCACCTTTTGTAGCAATTTCCCCGAGCCAGCATCCCAGATATACAGGCAGCCGTCCTCCCCTCCTAGCGCCACCAGCCGCCCGTCCGGGGAGAATCCGACGGCTCGGGGCTGGGGCTGGTTGACAAAGTCGCGCAACGTCCGCTGGAGCGCGCCGGTCTCCGTGTCCCACAGCCGCACTGTGAGGTCGCCCCCCACGGAGACGAGGCGGCGCCCGTCGCGCGAGAACGCCACGTCGATGATGCAGATCTCGTGACCCTGCAGCGTCTTCTGCAGAACCCCCGTCGCGACGTCCCACATCTGGATCGAGTGGTCCTTCGACCCCGACGTCACCCGCCGGCCATCCGGCGAGAAGGCCAGGGCCCGGCTCTCACCGTCATGGCAGTCGACCGTCAGCCGCAGGAACCCCGTCACCACGTCCCACAGCCACACCCGTTCATCGCAGATCTCGACAGCCAGAGTCCGTCCGTCGGGCGAGAACACCACACGGATCATGCCGCCGTCGTAGGGGTCGCGCGGGGCCCGCGGTCTGCCCGTGCAAATGAGGGTATGCCGCAGGCGCCCCGTGCGGGTGTCCCACAGCCGGACAGAATGGTCCGCCGCGCCGGATGCCAGGAGCTGGCCATCGGGTGAGAACACCACGTGGCAGATGCGTGTGGCGTGGTCGCGCAGCTTGTGTCTGACCGTGCCCGTCTGCGTGTTCCACATCGCGGCGGTGTGGTCGCTCGAGCCCGAGGCCGCGAGCCGGCCGTCGGGAGAGAAGGCCAGCGCGAGCACGGGACCTGTGTGGCCTGCGATCAAGGACTCATCGACGAACTGACCTGGATCCCCGGGGGTTTCCTCCGTCCTCGGGGCAAGATCGAGCCAGCAGGGGATGTCGGCGACCAGGGCGCGTTTGATAAGCGACGAGTCGGGTTCGAAGACCAGCGCCGATGCATACAATTGCAGTGGGTACAGGTAGACGACCGGCGAGTTCTGCACCATGAAGTGTCTCGCCGCGTGCAGGAACTGCATCAGCGGGCACTCTTCGTTGTCCTACATCGGGATGAAAAGTGAGCATGAGGAAAACAGGTTCCACCGCCAGACCGGGGACGCTTACCGCGAAGCTCCTGAGCAGTACCTCCAGCATGTCTACGAGAGGGGTCCACCCACTCAGCAGGATGGTCGCCTCCGCCAGGTGCAGGAGGTGCCGTTCCAAAAACCGCAGAAGCTGGTCCATCCACTCCGCGCGATCTGGGATCTGCCACAGGTGAAACGTCAGAAACTGACACGCATACGCGAGCCCGGGTGGGATCGACCGCTCGATCTTCTTGCGGCGGATGCTAGAAATGCTCGTTCCGTAGCTTTCTAGACGGCACATGTTCGCATGAAGACCACCCATCACGCGCAAGCAATGGGCGACTACCTTGGTGTCTGCCTTTGCATCGTAGATGGGGGGTTCGACTCCCGCATCGGAGACCCGACAATAGTGCGGGTTCTGTCCGATTTGGAGGGAGCTGTTAGGGCCATCCGGGACCAGGATGAGGGGCTCCAAGGGACGCAGGGTGTTTCTGATAGTATCGTTGCTCTGTCCAATCAGCTGGGACAAAGCCGTGATGGAGAGGGGCTGAGCGAGGTTGAACACGGTGCCAACAATCTCATCGAATTCATGCCGCCCCTCTTTCTCGGCTTGCGTCTTTGCGGCGAGAAGCTGGTCGGTGATCTGCTGCCGTGAAACCATCGCATTGGATGACGAAGCGTAGGTATCCTCCAGTCTGCCGTTCTTTTACGTGTCTGCTGTGAGGCTGTAGCACAGCCACGATCTGTCCACGCCGGAGCCAACCATGTTGCCGGGATCGTCTTACTACTTGGCATCATATGATCAGCAGACGATCGACTGGTAGATCGCGTTACTCACCTGATATCTTCTCCGATGTCTTCGTCTACATTGAGAGAGGGGTGGTAGGAAGACACACAAAGAGGGAGAAAAGAGGGAGAGGGAGAGGATGACATGTGACCAGGATGAGGCCTCAATCAGGCCGAACTTCATCCCCCCAATCGGGTTAGATCGGTTCCAAACCTCAGGCTGTGATTGGCGATCGCGTGACTTTCCCCCCTCATTGAAGCCTTTAATCAATCAATCAATCAATGGATCCAGATTAGGGAGTCTGATTCATCTATATAGATTAGATGATGGAACCCGGGGGTATCCGGGGATCTGTCCTTCATACGGGGTCAATACGTGAATACAGCTTCAGGACACGGAAATCCGGCCAACGTGCCTGAATGGAACCGGTCGATCACATCGATCAGTGGATCCACGGATCGCCTCTCGGATACAGAGAAAGGGACAGATAGAAACAGGGAACAAGACCTAGGAACAGTAGACAGTTAGATCAGGACCACGAGATGAGGATAGGTATTGAGGTAAGGTTGATACTGTGGTGGATTATTAGATAATAAAGGGATGCAGGGCTCACGCATCCGGGGGGGGGGGGGGGGTAAAAATAGAACAGTCGAGTTCATAAACGATCTGTATCCTGGTAGGGTACGGAGTACGGAAAAGGGATCCAACCCGATCGATGTCCTGATTGAGATTCTCAGCAACAGATCCATGATGCTACCTCCGAATCATTCAACATACCTGTACCTGTATAGTTGATTTGAGTGAGGAAGAATCGCATGCGGATCCGAGTCGGTCTAGACTACGCCCAACCCGGCCTCAGGCAGATTAACCCGAGGATTTTATTCTATTTTTTCCACTCCGCTTTCTCTCTCTTCTCTTCTCCTTCTCTTCTTCTCTTCCCGTCTCTCTCTCGGCTTCTTCCTCTCTTCTCCTATTCTTCCTCCTCTCTCCCCATTATCCATTCATCTTATCGTTATTATACTTTCTACTGGTGACCTCCCACCGTCAACTTCAGTCAACTCCACCATGGCCCTCGGGCCTTTCTCCCCCTCGCTCTACCGCTTCTTCCTCCTCTTCTCCGTCATCCTCTCCGTTCTCGCCGCCGATGACACCCAGCTAATCCCCGCCACCGGCTCCAAGATCTTCCCGCAATGTGCCACCACCTGCAATAACCTCAAACAAGCCCAGACGCTATGTGTGCCTCCGACCGCCCCCGCTACCGGTAAAACCGGCTACGTGAGCTGCTTCTGCCAGTCCAACCTCCTCCTCGGCCTCAAAAACTCCGCCGACGGAATCTGCGACGACACCTGCTCCAGTCCCGCGGATAAGAACACCTTGAAGAAATGGTACAGCGACTACTGTTCCTCGGGCGGCAACATCCCGGAGAATTCCGGCGATAAGAACGACGACAGCAAAGGCGATAACAAGAAAGACAACGACAACGACAACAAGGACAACAATAATGACGATAAAGGTTCGAACAAAGCCGACTCTAACGACGGGTCCCACAAGAAAGTTGAGGACCCGCCCTCGCAGAGCTGGTCAGTCATGAGAAACAGGAATGCGCCCCCTCCGTCCCCTTGCTAACCCCCCCGCAGGATTGCCGGTCATTACCAGTGGGTCATCATGGTTGTCGTTCTCATCGTCGGCTTCGCCGCTCTCGCCGTCTTTGGCGTTTGGCTTAAACGCCGCCACGATGCCAAGTATCCCGGTCTCTACCACGCCGCGGCCACCGGCGCCAGCGATAGCGGAATCCTCCGACCTGGGCAGGGCCCGGGTCCAGTCCCGAGCCCACCGGTCGCGTGGATGGCCGGTCAGGACCCCTCCACCTCGGGCGCCAGCAGCAGCTCACGAACCGACGTCGTCCCAACCGCCGCAGGGGCACCCAAGTCTGGCTCCAGCGGACGACTGCAGAAGTCCACTCCCTCGCAACCGACGGATGATATCGAGATCCGCGAAGTCCCCCGATAATAAACTCGCAACTATCAATCAAATGTTTGAGCCTAATTCACCATCTCCTTCCATGACCGTGTCAGAGTCGCGATGGATGTCTTGCATATTGTGTTTTGCTTAACGTATGATTCGGGAGAACCGACTCTTCTTTTTTCTACTTTTCTATTTTCCTTCTCTTATATTTTTTTTTTGGCATGCATATATTGGCGTTAATGTGTCGGTGTTGAGGTTGAGGCTGATAATCTTCCTTTACTATTGTTTATGGCCTGGCCGATCGCCCAAGCTCGGAATTATCTCCCGTACTTACCTACTTACCTTCATGTCTATATGTTTGAACTATTACTATACTTATATTGATATTATCATTACTACTGCATTTAATGATCTACTATAGTATGGATTTTACTTTATTGATACTATAGCGACTACATGTATCTATTCCGTCAGCCTTGATCTGAAAACACAGATAGTTGAATACTCCGTACAGTACCTAGTTGAACCTCAAGACCACAATCGCAAAATTACCTACCTACCTACCTACCGATCATATACAACACCAAATTAACCGAGTATGCAAGTGTACAAAAAGAGAAAACGATGACATACATACATAGGATAGTAATAGTGGTGGTGAAGGCAGTAGTAAGAGTGTAATGGTAGCATGCTATATCGATACAAGCCAGAAAGAATGAAGAATGTCAACGTCAACCCCTGATGGTGTAGTTGGTTTATCACGTCTGACTGTAATGGAAATACCTGTCATCAGAAGGTCGCTGGCTCGATTCCGGCTCGGGGGATAATGTTGACTTTTTTTTTTCCCCCTTCCTTACTGGTCATTCTTTTGATTCTGGTATCATTACGACTTACTTGTCTTTTATTGTTTTTGATCTTAGTTATTCATTATCGTTTGAATAACTAATAACTAACTACATCCTTTGTCTAGATCATCTTGGTGTCTCGTGTGACAATAAGATGAAGTATAAACTATCTCCTACTAATGTCAAACATGATCAATCTGCAGGCCATATTTATTGATTTTTGATTGTGTACTACCTACCTACAGTGGTTATTGCTTAGGATTAATGTTATACATTTGAAAGAATAAGACATACTGTCGGTCTGTTACGAAGATAGATGATTTAGTAGTGTTGAGAGTTCACAATATATATAATGCCAGCAATCACAACAATCATAGACTACCATCCTTACATATATGTACTGCAATATAAACAGTAGTACGAAAGAGAAAAGAGAAGAGAAGCAAAGAAAGAGAGAGATATATGTATAAAAAGAAGGATCACCCCACAAACTCCCCCTGTGCCAACGCTATCCACGGCAGATTCTCATTCCAACACAGCTGCATCAACGCGCGCGCATTTTGTATCTGTCCCCTGTTAGATTCTTCATACGTATAATGTAAACTAGGTAGGAAAAAGGGGAAATACCTGCTTCATCCCCGTCTGCTCAATCACCTCAAACCGCTCATTGATAGCCGCCCGCTGCTCCGCGTCCTGCGCCTCGCATCCCGCCGTGAAGAGCGGGAACAGCGCCCCGGAGTCGGCTGCGACGCCGGGGCGGATTTGGGACAGCGCGCGTATTAGCTCGGTGAGAGCGGTGCGGACGGGCGGGGCGGAGGCTGGTGTGTTCAGCACGCGTCGGTGGAGGTGGATGAGGCCCGCGGAGCGGACGGCGCGGTCGATGGCGAAGATGTCGGCTGAGTCGGTCGCGACGAGGTGTTCGCCGTGGGCGTGCGCGTGGGTTTCCAGCACGTCGGAATCGGCGAGGAGGGACTCTGCTTCGTGGAGGACGGTCGCGGAGGGTTGCCAGTCTGGGAGGAAGGTGCCGAAGTCGTCGAAGCGCTCGTTGTCGCATTGGTGGACGAGGCGGCCGAGTCGGGTGAGGAAGAGTCCCGTGCGCGGGGTGAAGCCTGTGAAGCAGTCGACGCCGAATTCGTCCTCGCCGACGCTTGTAGAGCAGGTGCTTAGCACGGTGTAGTAGGCGAGGAGTGGTGGGTCGCTGTGGCGGCAGGATAGCGCGCCCATGATGTCTAGGTATCCCAGCCACCGCGTGAGGAAGGCCCCGACCTCGTTTCCGCGGTAGGCTAGGTGGGTTTGGCGTGCGACGAACAGGTCCCGGGCGAGCTTGAGGTGGCTTTGCCAGGGGATGGGCACTTCGAAGGTGCTCGGGGAGACGATCTTCAGGGATAGTAGCATGATGGCGGCGGCCAGGTGGCTGTCGGTGACGTTCTCGTGGGAATCTTCGAGGGCGACCCGGAGCGTGGGGAAGACGTTGCTCACCCAGTGCGCGATCCGGTTGGAGGGCTCGGGGTGTCCGAGGTAGCGTGCGCGGTGGCTGGCCGAGTATGCCAGCAGCAGGTTTAATAGGTTGGAATCGCCAATGGCCACTGCGGGCTGTTAGTTGAGTTCTCACGGGTTAGAGTTTGGTACGTACTGGTTGGCAGAACCGACACGAACGGGTTGTCGGCGCAGTCATGCGGAACCAGCATTCTGGCTGTGTGGTGGAGAAAATGGTGAAAGTACATTAGGTTGATGGGCGTCCTCACCAGGGACGGTGGCAGCGGTGACAGATACCGCGGGATGTTGATCGGCACTGGTGATGCATAATAATCGTACCTTGCGTGGTCCGGGCCGTGGTGAGAGCTAGTCCCCGTCGAACAGCTGGCGTGCGCCGATGGCGTGTCTGTCCGGCCGCCCTGGTCGAGGGCGTAGTTGATATCGATCGCCGAATGGTCGTCGTTCTTGTTAAGGTCCAGGTCCGGACGTCCACAGTCGAGGCCGTAGTTGTCCGTCACGCTGGTCAGGTAGGCGTGCCACTTCTTTTCCGAGTGGGTCAGGTCGATCGGCCCGTCTACGGCAGGGGGCATGTGGCCACAATCGGAGTAGGGTAGACGATCGGAAGCTCGCGGGCGGTCCGTGACTTTGGCCAAAGAGCTCTCCTGCGTGGTGGTGGTGGTGGTCTGCACGGGCGACACATCTCGCAGGTCAAGAGACGAGAAGATGGACGATCTCCGTCGATCGGACCCGACGGGATCATGCCGATACTCCGCGTATACATTCCCCATGTTCGCCGACACCGCGAGGTCAATGGAATGGGTGGAGTGGCTGGGGGACTCGTGCTCCGACGGGGAGCCGTGTGCGACTCCGTGCGACGGGTCGGCCGTCTGCCGCAGGAAGGAAATCGGGCGGGTGACCGGGTCGGGCGAAAAGTTCAAGGCCGCCAAAGAGCCAATGCTGGAACTTGTATCGGCGGGAGAAGGATAGGGAACGCCGTCGAGGGCGTGTGGGATGGGGGGCGCATAGCACGGGGCGCCGTGGGACAGGGCGGCGGTCATCTGGGGCGACAGTTGCGGCCACGGACTGGCCGCGTCCGGGTCTTGC